ATTTGGATGAAGCCGGTATCATATACTGGAAATGAATTTTATTTAAAGAATGCATACATCAATTGCGATCGATGTACCAATAAACTGAAACGGAATATGAACCCAGAAAAATAGCAATAAAATCGCGCCAGGTATCTCATAGGCAGCAGAAGTGGCATAGTGTAGCAATGGCCAGTGGTTTTCTGCCTGCATAACGCAGGCCAGCCAATAAATAAAAATAAGCAATTGCAATGAGAATGGCAGGATTCAAACTATTTCTGCATTATACAATATGGGCTTTCTATTTCTACTTTCCTTATATATATATAAATTCTTGAATTGTTATAGAGCATGCTATCGATTAGGAGGATGGAAAAACAGGGTTGCGAATGAAGCGATTAGCAATTCAGTTTAGTCACAACGACACAAATAGGTTTGTCCTCATTATATAGTCATTTACTTATTTGCACTTGACTTGATTTTGTTCAAGGATTGTCGATTACCTCATGACTATTAAATTAGGAAGCTGATAGAGAGTCATACCTGCACTATAGTGTGTCATTATTTATTATTTTTTTCTTTTTTCTCATAACGCAAGTTCCACGCACACTCCCTGCACTAGCAGGGCCTTGACCAAGTGCCCGGCATATCGATTGCATCACTACTTAGCTATCTTTTCGATCAGTTGACTGCATGTCAATATGAACAAAAAGCATTGCACGCACGTGACCTTATTTGGATGAAGCTAGCATCATATACCGGAAATGAATTTTATTTAAAGAATGCATACATCAATTGCAATTGATGTACCAATAAACTGAAACGGGATATGAACCCAGAAAAATAACAATGAAATTGCACCAAGTATCCCATAGGCAGCAGAAGCGGCATAGCGCAGCAATGGCTGGTAGTTTCCCGTCTGCATAACACAGGCTGGCCAATAAATAAAAATAAGCAATTGTAACAAGAATGGCAAGATTCAAACTATTCCAAAAACTGTATGAATACTGACATTATCGTGTAAGCTGGACAAGCTACTGATTTGAATGCGCAGATAACCGCAATCTAGATACTTATTTATTCATAAAGAACAACAGTTGCAGATGTGTATTATGCATATATATATATCACTATTATTCTTATTTATTTTAAAACGTTTTGGCTAAACTGTCTTAGTCATATTCTGATGAGCGGTCTTAGTCATATTCTGATGAGCGATCTATTCCAAAGTATTGATAATTGATTGATTAGAATATGCTTTCGACAAAACTGTAGCAATCGTTGCTGGGTAGGTTTGAATGTATCTGTAGAATGAATCAGATGACCACCTGCTGATCATCTGAATAAGTGGTAATTGAACTCTATACAGAACCAATTCTGTCATGCCTCCTGCTCTAAAACTATGCCCTGCCAAATTTGATTTTGGTAAGAGGAATTTGAGTGTGTTTATAAACCAATGTTTAGTGGCTAGGTCACCATTAGTTTTGACAAAAAGGGTATCAATCCCTTTAGCATATGCAGGCTCTGTTCTATGAATTATATAGGCTTTCAATGCACGAATTGGACATAAATTGTCATTGATTGAATTGATGATTAGCACTGGATGTTCAGTAGTCTTATGAGTTTTTGTTCTGAAAAGCTGTATTGTTGCAAATGTATGGACATCGGTCTTATCAAATCTCAAGCTTTGGATATTTGGTGTCTTGTGCATTCCTTGCTAGCACTGCGGTAACAATTTACCTAGTCGGGCTAGGCCATAAAAGGCTACTAATGCTATAGACCAAAACAAAATACATTCTATATCATTGAAATTTAATCTGTCATGAATACTGCATAGCTGTGCTCTTGTAATATGCTCTTTCTGACATATTAGATAAAACATATAATTGCCTACTATTGTTTTCAAAAGCTGCTTTACTAAAGGATCATAGCGAACATTATTCCATTCAATATGATTCATAGTATGGAAATGTTTAAGGGCAGACAAATAAGATATAATAGTTTGTGGTGTAACTCTATTGTGTAAGTATGCAATAAACTTCACTAAGTTGTCTTTAGATATAGGCCATATTGATTTATTGTTATTTAGCCATCCTTGATCTGTCACTAATTTTTGGTACCTTTTTGTTATAGCATTGTACATTTTATACATTGGAGCGTTTATTCCTAGAATTTGTTCAGCCTGTTTATTCAGAGCTGTTATGGCTGAGGAGAGTTCAATAATTGGTTTTGTAAACCCTTGCTGTAATATGTTGTTGCCCAAACCTAAAATAAAAGAGACAGGATAATAGAAATTAGATTAGCATAACTGTTTGGAAATATTGGTTGTAGAAACCGTATATAAGGATTTCGTGTCATAAATTTTCTGTAACCATTACGTGACAGCAAATCTGCTTCAGTATTATTTTTCCCGCTTATGTGTTCTAATTTGATCAGAAATTTTCATGGATTTGAGCCATATACATTTCGGCTATTATGTCATTTATTGTAGAGTTTTTACAATATCCTATATAATATGACTCTGTATTGGCCAAATTATTTGTCCATATTAAAAGGCGTTTTTGTGTCCATAATGGTGAAAAGGTAAGTATCGCAATAAGACTAATTAGTAGTTCATGAAACTGAATACTATAGAATACTAAATTTATTCCTCTAGACCAGTTAAAAGTGGTAAAGTACACATCATAAGTTGTCCGCCACCCAAGTTTGACGCATCTGTAAATAAGTTTTGGACTTTAGGCCGCAGCTATACTCTGTCTTCTAAGAAGTATACACCAGACCATTCTGGAAGGATTCTAGACCACCATACAATATTTGCTTTCATTTGGCTTGTTATTTTAATATGGTATTTTGGTTTCTTTGATTCTTCTAGAGCTCTGATAAAACATTAAACAAAAGGTCTGCCTTGAGGTATGATTTGACATAGCCACATAAGCGACCCGACTAATAACTGCAACTCTTTTGTATAACACCATTTTCTATTATTCCAATCTGATAACATATACATTATTTTAGCCTTCTTTGAGTCCAGTAATAAAGCTGACAAGGTTACGGTATCGATGTATATTTCTAAAAAAGTAAGTGCAGTACTAGAGCCTTCCAACTTTGATGGCTTGTGTAAAACGTTCATTATCTCTAATATTTGAAGGAATTAGCGCAACTTTTGCTCAGCCTGACCTTGCGAAATAATCAAGAAATCATCAACATAATGAATAATTGCTCTAATTCCGTGTTGAATAGCGATTCAAGCAATAGTATCTGCAAACTGACAGAATATGCCGTCCGAAGCTCTGTTTCCAAATGCTAATGCTTTATCAAAGTAGATATTGCCTTCACATAGTAAACTTTGAAGAACCTGATCTACTGGATTTACAAGGAATATACGGTAAGCATCCTGAATATCGATCTTTGATAGCAAGCAGCCTCTTCTATAATACATTATCCACTCAACTGCATGACTTATATTTTCATATTTTGTAACAAAATCAATTCGGTCTATCCCATCATTAATACTTGCTCCAAATGGTGCTAATAAATGAGAAATAACACGGTATGCTTGGGGTTTAGTATCTTTTTTCTCAACTAATCCGCATAGATTAATTTGGAACATTTTGTATGATGAGTTCTTTAAAGAAAATGGTCCACATATACGACCAACTGCTAGTTCTTTGTAGATGTAGTTTTTAAAAGCTGCTGGTTCTATATCGATTGACTTCAAATTATCTTGAATTATAATTGTGCATTTACCAAAAAAATTAAACCAGAAGCCTTGTTCTAAACCTCTGAATAAGTATTGAATAAATGGGCGATTTGGATGTTTTAGTGTAAAGTAAATGAATGCCAGCTTGTTAATAGAGGTTGTTACGTTAAACAATGCTGGATCTAATTGTGCAGCAATTTTTATCTCTTCCTGAGTAAATTGATTCCATTTTGGTGGAGAAGCTCTGATAGTAGAACTTACGGATTGCAATAAAAGTTTAGCTTAAAGAGCAACTGTGAACATCTGAGATGCTTTAAATTGTGCTGAATGATTTATGAATTCTTCTTGTTTTCTTGCTATACTTGCTATTTAGTATAAGCATTGTTAGTACTTATATTTATTTATATCATTTCGTATATATACGTTTAAAAGCAAAGTAGAATTTAATTTTGGATTGATTGTATATTGTTTATTATATGTTCACAGCTACTATAATATATATTTCTATTAGGTATCAAATACTATCTTTATTGTACTGCTCATTTTTTTTTTATATATATATTACCTATTGCCTTGAAGATCACTCTTAAATACACCTGCTTGTTTAAACCTATTGTTTCTGCGAAAGCAAGGTTTTTCGCTGTGGCCTGTCTTCTTATATACAATACAGACATGCACTCTGCCACAGTTTTTCTCTTCTATGCATGTCCTTCTATTCCAATTAATACAAATTTTGCGGCCATCAAACCATGAAGCATCTAGCCAACCAGGGTGACATCCCTCATTTTTGATTCTCTTTGCAGCAGTAATATCTAGATTCTTGCCTTCTGCCTCAATATCTCTTTCAAGTAAAGTGAAATTGCGATTAATTGCTAACATGACTCACTGATCTTCATTGTATCTAATCACAGCAACGAAATCATATCTTATACATAATTTATTAATATGATCTCAATATGCGTATAACTCTTGCTCACGATCTTTTTAAAGAATTAATATATACTTTAAAAGCCATTAACCACTCTGAAATATCTTTGAATGAAAATTACGAGATCATTTTTTAATTGAAATAGTTCCATTTTCAGATGACTGCAAAACTGTATCTTCACTTTCATACTTCACACTATTAACAATATTCTTGTATACAAAATCTTGAAGATTTATAAATGAACCAAATGCAAGCAACTTCCATGTTTTACTTGGCAAGCTTGGTTTGATTGGTAGTAACTCAATAACCTTCTGACCCTCATTCCAGTTAAAGATCCACCACCTATGAATCTGTTCAGTTCTTACAGCATCTTTATTAGGCATTCCTTGTACGTCAGGCAAAGGCTTTAAAGACACATAGCTTAGTGCTGGAAACTTCCTATTAGTTAGCTTATATCTTACTGACTTGATTTCATCTAACTCTATCTCTTTCGATCGGGTATCACCCAGAATGACTCCTGCCATTAAACTATTAATAATTGGGGTTGAAAGATAATTACTTTCTTGCAGATCCATGCAACCTTCTGTACTGGTTGCTCGTATTATGTGTATTCTGTCAGCTTCAAGATATTGTCTTGTTGGGTTATTGTCATTGGCTTAGTTGTTATTCTCTATACTTCCTATCAGATTGGTCTGTTCCAGCTGTGCAAAATGTTGGTTGATCATTTCGATACACCTCAAATTCTACTCTCTTTGAACTTTCAACTGCTGATCCATATACTGATGCATATTCTCTGTTATTGCTGATGCTATTGACTGGATTACCACATCTAAGTATGATTTTGTTTGTATATCAATTTGTGTGTTAATCACACTAGCATCCTGCCTTTGCTTTTCATGTGATGCACCCGCTTCTACAGTTTCTACTGCTGTTGCGCTGTCATCTTGATTATTGACTTTGCTTTTTGCGTTTCGTCTGCTCATTTTTGCGAATGAAGCGATTAGCAATTCAGTTTAGTCACAAAGGCACACATGAGTTTGTCTCCATTATGTAATAATTTACTTATCTGCACTTGACTTGATTTTGTTCAAGGATCGTTAATTACCTCACAACTATTGAATTAGGAAGCTGATAGAGAGTCATACCTGCACTATAGTGTGTTATTATTTATTATTTTTTTCTTTTTTCTCATAACGCAAGTTCTACGCACACTCCTTGCACTAGTGGGGCCTTAACCAAGTGCCTGGTATGTCGATTGCATCACTACTTAGCTATCTTTTCTATCAGTTGACTATATATCAACACGAATAAAATTCATCAGGAGTATATATATTCTTATTTATCTTTCCAATCATCTCATCCAGATATTTTTCTGTACTAGTAATTACATTAACATTAGTAATTTTATCCACTATCTTCAGATAATCTACCAAATCCTCAAACTCAAAGTTTTCAGTCATTTTTAAGCT